GGAAGGGAATAGAGGGAAAATAATAAGAAGAAGAACTGTTGTCTCTCGGGGATGTTAAATTCCAGAGCTGGAGGTGCCAAACTTCAGTACCTGTTAGTTTGTGCAACGTGTACTCTTTTAAGATCAGTAACGTCACTCCTGTGGCACTGAGCCAGTGTTTTCCAGGAGCCCTCAGGCTTTGTCATCCACCTGCCAACTCAGGGGAAAGTGCCAAAGTACAGCTAACAATCCGTTGTATGGACAAGAAACTGGATATATACTTCTTTTCTCAATCTAACAAATGGATATCACCAGGCCAGGTTGTGGTCTTAGGGTTTTAACTCTGTGAGGACAACAGTTTTGTTTGGAGCACCTTAATCTCTCTGATTGTCTGAATTGGTACATACCTATACCAATTGAAGGCTTACAAAGTGCCTTACAAAGCACTTTCTTCACAACCACTCCATAAGGCAGGTGTAGCATAATGGAAAGATCACTCACTTTAGAATCAAAAGACCTGTATTCAAATCCTTATTCTATTTACTACTTATGTGACCTTTTACAAGTCAGATTCTTCAACTGTAAAATGAGAGAATTAAATGAAGGGATCAAAGGATAGTTATTAATAGATTCATGTTCGACAGTGTGGGGAGGTCTTTAATGAATTGGTCCAGGGACCTATCCTTGGCTTTCAAAATTTTCAACATTTTAGATGTTCAGCATTTTAGAAAGGTATTTGGATTAAGGCATAGAAGGGGTGATTATAAAATTTGCAAATGCCTTGAAACTGGGAGGGATGATTAAAGTTTGGATAATAGAATAAGTAATCAAAAGGATCTTGATAGGTTAGAATAATGGGCCAAATATGAAAAGGTGAAGTTTGGTAGGACAATTGTGAAGTCCTATGCCTAGATTAAAAAAAAAATCAACTGTATAATACAGAATGGGTGATGCTTGGCTAGACAAATTTGTGTGAAAAGAGCTCTGGGGATTTTAGTGGAAAGCAAGCATGGCTGACATTTATGTAGTGCTATGTATCCATAATCTCATTTGATGCTTATAAGAACCCAGTGAAGTAGACATTACAGGTATGTACATTTTGCCATTTTATAGATAAGGAATCTGATATTCAGGGAAATTAAATGACTTATTCATGAACACAGCTGGTATCAGAGGTGAGATCTGAATCCAGGACTATGCTGACTTCAGTCTAGTACTCTTTCTATTACAGAACACTGAAAACTGTGATATTAGTCAAAAAAGCTAATGTGATCCTAGATGGAATTAATAAGGGCATTGTGTCTAGAATGAGGAGGAGGGTGATGATTCTGCTATTCTTTGCCTTGGGCAGACTAGATCTTGAGCCTTGTATTTAGTTTTGGGAACCACATAGTAGGAAGGATATTGTCAATATGGTACGGGAACTAGAGATTGTAACACATAATCATGTAGAAAGAACCAGAAGTGGTTGGGAGAAGAGGAGACCTAGGGGACACCTGATAGTTGTCTTCAAGTGTTTGAAAGGCTTTCATATGAAAGAAGATTAGATATATTCTGCTTTACCCCAGGGGCCAGAACTAGGAAAAAATGGAGAGGAGGGAGATTTTGTCTCAGGAAAAGAAAACCATCTAATAGTCTGAGCTATAAAAAAATTGAAAAGGGCTGCCTTCTCTAGAGGTCCTCAAGCAGGGGCTAAATGACCATTTTTCTGGAATGCTATAAAGGTTATTTTTGTTTGGATGTAGGTTTGACCAGATGCCCTTTGAGGTCCCTTCTGACTTTTAAGATTCTGTGACTAAATATTCACCAAGGTCCCCTCTGGCTCTAAATCTTATGATCTTCTGAAGTAAGCTGTGCAAGGTTTATTATCCTCATTTTTACAGGTGAGAAAACTTGGACTCAGTGCTATAGAATTTGATTTTGGCATCTTTTCTAAATGATGAACCCACCACCTTTAGAAGGAGGCCATTTCACTTTTGGATAGCTCCAATTGTTAGGAAGATTTTTCATATATCAAGATATATTTTCCTTCCTACATATTTTCCTTATATCCTTATGTCAAGGCACATAAAATATGTCTCTTTATCATTTCTACCCATTTCCTCCCCCTAGATCTTGGTCCAAATAGAACAAGTCCAATCCCTCTTCCATGGTAGTCTTTCAAGTGCATGAAAACAGGATTCCTTCCTCTTCTGAGTCTTTGCTTCTTCAGGCTGATTATCCCTTGTGCATTTAAGTGATTTTGACATGGCTTAACCTCGAGGCCCTGTACTATCCCATTTGTCCATGTTTGGATGGTCCAACTTATTGATGTTTCCCCTAAAATACAGAACCCAGGACTGAATATAATACTCCATATACAGTTTGACCAGGGCAAAGTAGAGCAAAATTGTCACTTATCTAGTCCTGGACACTATGTATCTCAGTATAGCAGAAGACTGCATTAGGTTTCTCGGCTGCCATATCAAACTCTTGACTCATATTAAACCTGTAGTCCATGTGGAAGGGTGTGTTTAGAAGGAAGATCACAGGAGCAAAGTTTGCAAGTTGGATGGGGACCTTAGAGGTCATCAAGTTCAAATCCCTAATTTTACAGATGAGGAAACTGAGGCTGAGAGAAATGTTAAGTGACTTGCCAAGTTCACAGAGTTGTTGTCTGAGGCAGGGTTTGAATCCAGGTCTTCCTGACTCCAAGTCAACTCTATAGTACATTTTGGTTTGAGTGAGAAATATGTTCTAAATCCCTTCCATCTTTGACATTCTGTGTTCTAACATTCTTCCCAAACAACATTTTGTGTTCTAGCTTCTTAATTACCTCCTTTGACATTATATTTCTTTATTCTTTATCTTTATCTTTTTGTTGTTGTTGTTGCTTTTTGGTGAGTCAATCTGGGTTAAGTGACTTGCCCAGGGTCACACAGCTAGTAATAAGTGTCAAGTGTTTGAGGCCGGATTTGAACTCAGATTCTCCTGACTCCAAGGGAAGAGCTCTATCCACTGCACCGCCTAGCTGCCCCTGACATTCTTTATCTCGAGGGTACTTCTGGCTCTTACAATCTATGTTCTAGGTCCTTTCCACCTCCAACATTCTATCCCTCTATGGTTCTTCCCGTTCTGTGTTCTACATTCTAAGTCCTCTCTCCCTTGTAGCTCATTCTATAGTCCCATCTGACAGTCTGTGTCCTATTGACACCCCTCTGAGGTGTTTCCCACCTGTAACATTCTATGTTCCATGTCCTAAGGGTCCCTTACCTCTGACATTCTATAAGCCTACAAATCTCGTGGAGTTTTCCCAAGGGGAATATCTTCTTCAGATTTAAAACCTACTTTAAGCAGGAAAGATTTATGGGTGGGTGGTGGGCAACTAGGAATCAGTGTGTTGGTGTCTGGGTAACAAAGCATTTCCACGGGAAGCAGCCAGCCTTCTGCCAAAGCCTCTCAGGTCCTCTGGGGGTTGCAGCCTATTGCAAGGGTTGCCATGACAGTCGCTGAGCCCAGCTACTCCCCATCTCCTTGGGGACTGCTGCTGTAGAAGGTTGGACTACCAAGAGGAACCTGTGAGCCAGACTTTGTCTGGCCTTCAAGACATACTTTCTATCTGACAGGCAGAGGAAGGAGCCTGGAAAGTGAGAGTTTTATTGCCAGAGATTTTTGGAAGGTTCCTTGGAAATCATCTGTTCTAGCCCCACACTTTACAATTTGGGAGACTGAGGCCCAAGGAGGCAAAAGGACTTGTCCCGGTTCACTTAGCTCTTGCATGGCAGACTGGCACATAGTATGCGCTTAATAACTGCTTATTGACTGACAACCTTTGCTTCACAGAGAGGAAGTTGTGGCGATCCCCAACCCTGTCTGCCATTACTACCTCTTTAAGAGCCTCTCGCTTCCCGCCAGCTTCGCCTTCTGCCCCGCCCCGGAGGCGGGGCTAAACCCCTAAAGACCAGGGTGATCCCCGCCCCCTGCACGCGTCGTCGCCCGGGTCTGTGAGTATGTAGGCAGGGGGCGGGGGAATAGAAGTTTTGCCAGATTACACATGCGCACAGGAGCTACCGGCCCGCGAGGTGTAGGCGGCCAAGCCCCGCCCCCTCGTCTTCCCTCTTCTCCCCTCCCCCGTGGGCCCAGGCGGAACCAGCCGCCCAGCTATAGGCAGGAGGTAGGGGAGGGCAAGAAAGCCAGGACCTCAGAGAGACGGACTGACTAAGGATCTCAGTGACACTGAAGCAGCTGCGGCGGGAGTTCAGAGGCGAAGTAATATGCGAGGTCGTGGGAGACATGGAGCCCCGGCCTCCGAGTGGCCGTTAGCCGGGCCCCTCCGTTGGGCAGGGAGGGGCTGGCGGGAGCTGGGCGCCTGCGCAGAAGGGGGCGGTTGCGGGAGGGCGAGGTCTCCGCGTGCGGGCGAGTGTTGATGAGGCGGGGCTTGGGAGGAGGGGACCCACCTAGGCCGGCCCCGGGAGGCCAGGCGCGGGGTGCGCCTGCGCATGGGCGGAGGCGGGCTTGGCGGATGCTTGGATCCGTAGTAAAAGAACCTCTGTGTTGAGTGCGTTTGAGGGTGGGGCAGGAAGAGACTCGACTCTGTGACCGTTCCCCTGTCCTTTCTCATAAAGAACGCGAGGAAGGAGATGACGTGTGCCCAGGTAGTATGTTACAGAGTAGGGAGTGACAGCACCCAAGGAGTGATAGGATAAAGTTACCTAGGGAAAGAGAGCATCAGCCACGGGGGGCTGAGCCTGGGAGGAAGGCAAGGATTCTGAGAGGTGGCAGAGTGCGCTCCAGGCATGGGGAATGGCTCGAGCCCTGCAGGGAGGTGTATTCTAAGGGGCATCTGGAATAGAGTTTGTTAAGTTCTATTCGACCGGCAGTAAGCGCTTACAGGCTTGTCGTTCAGTCGTGCCCGCCTCTTCCTGGCCCCATTTGGGGTTTTCTTGGCAAAGACAGTGGATTGGTTTGCCATTTCTTTCTCCAGCTCATTTTACAGATGGGGAAACTGAGGCAAAGAAGGTTACGTGACTTGCCCTGGGTCACACAGCTAGTAAGTGTCTGAGGCTGGATTTGAACTCAGGAAGATAGTGTGCACTGTGGCACCACCTGCCTACAAGCTTACCTGGAGAGCAAGAGCAGCTTCACCTGGGGAAGGGATTTTCCTGGTTTAGAGATTTAGGCTAGGACCAGTCCTCAGTATGCCAACTCCTCTACTCCCCTCGAGGCATGTCTTCTGTTAGCTCTTCTCGTTGCCCCCTCCAGACCTGCTTGGGGAGGTTGAAGAAGAATAATGGGAGGAACTGAGTTAGACTTTAGGAGGCACTTTTCAGCCCTTCTCTTGGACCAGTCTTTGCTGTTTACCATTTTTTCCACCACTTCTGAGCCCCTTTGAGGGCTCCAACCTAGCGCTGCCAACATTGATTGATTTATGTACCAATCTCTGTCTACGTGTAATCAATGTATGTATGAAGATGTATGTATATACCTACGCCCTGTGTTGTCTTTCCCCTAGATTGTAAGCTCTTTGAGGTCAAGAACTGCCTTTTTCTTATTCCTATCTCTAGCACTTAGCACATGTATGGCACATAGTAGGTGCTTAATATATGTTTGTCGAATTAAAAATATCACGTATAATATATTTGCGTCAATAGCATTCATACAAAGTGCCCCATTCTGTCTTGAGAAAAATTCAGTATATATATGAAAATTTAAACTTAAAAATAGATATATTTAGAGTCTTAGGGCTAAAAAGGACCTTAGATTTCCAGTCTAGTTAATTTTAAATTATGGGGTTGATTATTTACTTTACAAAAGGATTTTCTACATTATCAAATGATTTATGATAGGATTCTATAGGATTAGTATGTTTAACACAAGATTTGGTTTGTAAAAAATTGACATGCCTCAAGAATTTTGTTTTTTTTAAAAGGAATATAGATGTTATGTAAATCTGTATAGTCAGCTTTTATTATCAAGGTGAATAGGGTTTTGAGAATCTTTGATTTTGTTAGAATGGTCTTTAAAACTGCTGTGGCCCCTGAAATTCATCAGCCTGCATATGAGCTGCTCTGAACTTACTGAAGTTCTGAAGACATATGGCTAAGGACTTTTGTGGAGGATTGGGGTTAATACGGATAAATAGAATGTGTTACAGCACTAATCACATATCTCGGTTCTTGGTTCATTTCTTCTAAATTAACTCTTAGTGGCTGAAATATAGTAAAAGTGACCGCTTTTTCCTGCCTGTCGCCTGATGGAGGTACTAAAAATTAGCAGTAAAGGGAATAGGATTAAGGGGAAAAATAGAGAGCAAAATGGCTAGCCATCTACTAGAAGAATCAGAAAACTGCAGAATGTTAGAGTTGAGAGGGACTTCAGATAGAAATTACAGGAAAGTAGACTTCAGTTTGCTAGGACAAACTTCCTAACAATTAGAGCTATGAAAAAGTGGAAGGGATTACCTCTAAAGGTAATGAGGTCCCCAACATTAGAGATCTTTAAGTTGGCTGACTTCCTGTTTGAGGATAGGCTTGAAAATGATTACTGAAGTCTCTTGGTATTGAGGATGCTGATTCTATGACCTGTGTTGGTACTATGAAAAGCTTCTTTTGGCCCAAACCAAACTGTATAAAATAGGTCATTTTTCTTCCTGTAATGGAATGAAGTTTGCTTATACATCTAGTAATATTTTAATTTTTAAAAAGTTTATTGCTGCCTTTGGTAATATTTTTTATTAAATAAGTGTCTATATATATTTTTGAATTTCATATGAAATTATATTTTAAGGGGAGTAATCCAAGTTTGTTTTAGATCTCCTCACTAAATTTAGTGCTTTGCAGCATTAATTGGTTAATTATCTAAACTATTGTAAGAGTGTCTTGCATCTTCAGTCCCAATTAATGTAAAAAGATTTATGCCCTGATACCTTTATCTGATGTAAATGCCCCTCTGAGTTATGATGTCAATTAGCTGTGAACAGTTCCTAGAGACTCTTGAATCAAAGGTATAAACTAGGTACATGCTGAAAAGATGATGCTGTACAGGAAATATCTTGTGGGTGCTTGAAGAGAATAAGTCATCTACCGTGTGGGGCTTGGATAAAACAGCAAGCCAGTTCAGAGTCCAGCCTAATGGTGGAGTAACTCCTAACAAGTCCCAAAGGAGGAGTTTGTCTCTTCTCTCTTCACTTTCCCTCCCCCTCCATCCCTCCACTAGAGGATGACCATTTGAACTTAGGTTGGATGATTTGGATTTCCCATCCGTCTGTAACAGCATTGCAAGCTAAGAACAGATTAGAAACATGAAGGGAAGGCAACCTAAAGGCTGTTTCTACAAGGTCATCCATACCCTTCACCCACCCCTTACCAATTTGGAGTCCAGCAGAGGGTTAACACACACCAAAGGAGAACTTCATAAAGGGAGAAAAGGATTTCTAAGGAGCTATGAGTCTACCTTGCTCCATATGAGCTCTCTAAGTTTGAGCCCACTATCCCCAGGGACTTTGTGTATATACATGAAAGGGAGACTATATCCCAGACTATTAGAGTGATATTTTGTTGTGCCTGTTCTTGCTACCTTACTAAATACCTGTTGTTAAAAGCTAATTAACACAGGCTGACTGATGATCAGTGGAGAGTACATTGGTGAGGGCTCAAGAACTCATGTTAGAAATCAGCTCCAACCCTTAAGAATTCGAGATCCCAGAAGAGACAAGCAGTTAACCATCTGAGGAACCAGCTTTCCTGTGGAAGTTGAGGAAGTGAGTCCTCAAGTTTTATTTTACTTTCAATAACTGAAAAGGTTAATCTATATTTAAAGTTTATATGTCAGATACAAATTTCATCAGTTGCCATTGCCAAACAATTAAAAATACAAGCAACTTAAAGGACAGCAGAAGAGTCATAGCATCTCTAAAGTTTTTATTGCTGTCTTTTGTTTTTATCTCAACATTATTTCTGAATTTATCCCTCATCTACACAACTGCTTTCCCCTATAACATTTTTTAAAAAGACTAAGGTATCTTGTATTAATGACAATTTGAGTTGAAAGAAATCATTTATGTTATATATGTAAGTGGAAAAAAAGTAGACTCGTCAGTCATTTAAGAAGAGGGCAGCTTCTCCCCATGATTCATAGTGCTGCCTCTGGGGTCAAGTGGAACAAATCTAATCACTATTTTCTGGTGTATTTGAAAGCCAGAAATTGTGTTTTCCTTTAGCCTTTTCTTCTCTAGGTTTTTACTTAAGAGTTTCTAATACTGATCTTTGCATGATTCAGTCGCAAGGCCCTTCCCCATCCTTCCCATCCTCCTCTGAATGCTCTTGGGCTTTAAGTGTCCTTCCTAAAATTCAGCACCCAGAACTGAATATACTCCAGAACAGAGGTGTAAGGCATGTTGCCTGGGGCCTCCAGAGTGTGGTCTAAACCAGATTAAAATGAAATAGGGTTAAAAATAAAATAAACAAAATAAAAATACAGTAAACCATAGGTATTAAAATTTAAAACTAATTGAACATGCAATCTTCAGGGATCTTTATGTATACGGTTTAGTGGTCTCTATTTCTATTTGAGTTTAACACCTCTGGGTTAGAACACAGACTATTCTCTTCCTTCTTTTGGATGTTTTGCCTTTTAAGTAAAAATAGCCACAATCAAATTATTAGTCTTTACTATGTTGCATTGTTGACTTATAATGATTTTGGAATCCACTAAAATCCCCATATCTTTTTCACACGAACTGATGTCTAGCCATGCCTTACCCCTTTGTGGAAAAGAAAGGAGGTCTTTGGTGGTAGAAGAGGAAGGGAGTGAAATCCCAAGCCAAGGTAGTCTTTCATGTTTAGGAGGTTTCTTTTCTATGTTTAGATTGATGCTTACTTGGAAATGAATTCACCAAACAGATGATTTTTTTTGCTTCATAAAATTTATGTTTTTCACACACACAACTATCAATGTTTTCCTGAAAGAAAAAGATTAAGAGAGTACAAGTATCAACCTAGTCAATCTGGTTTCTCTCTCACCAGTAGGGATACAGAATTTCTAGAAATTTTTTAGCCATAGGGAAAAGAAAAGGAGTTAAGAAGAGAGCAAGAGGAGAGAAAGTAAAAGTATTATTGTAGATGGCCTTTTTTTGAAGTTTAGCTACAAAAAGTGGAAGAGATACAGGACAATAATTATCAGGGATAATTGAGGATTTTTTCAGGATGAGGAGATGTGGGTATGTTTGTAGGTAGTAGGAAATTAGCCAGTAGAGAGAGAGAGATTGAAAATAAGTGAAAGAGTGGGGATAACAGAGGGGACAGTCTGTTGGAGGAGATGGGATGGTTAAGAGATTAGCCTTGGTAAGTAAGAAGTAAGGCCACTTTGTCATGAAAGACAAGGGTGAAGGAGGAAATGGTGGCAGAAGGGACCAGAGTGATAGGAGATGAAGAAGAGGGGAGAATAGGGAATTCACAGTGAATGGCCTCAATTTTTCCTGTAAAGTCATTGGTGAGATTCTCAGCTGAGAGGATGGGGGGAGGGGAGCCATGGGAGGTTTGAGAAGGGATGAAAAGATTTGAAAGAGCTGCTGTGGGGAGCTGATTAGGGAGCTGATAAGGGAGGTATGTAATAGGATTGCCTAGCAGCAGTGAGGGCCCAGTTGAGGTTGTATAACAGAAATTTGTAGTAGAACCAGTCAGAACAGTCTACTGAATAGGGTGGTGGGTGACATGGTCAGACTTGTGCTTTAGGAAGATAATTTTGACAGCAGAGTGGAGAATGGTAGGGAGAGCAATCTGAACTCTTTTATGCGTGACTCCCCCAATCAAGATATAGGCTCCTTGAGAGAGCAGAGAGTCTCTTGTGTTTTCTGTTAGTATCCCTGTCATTTGGCCTAGAGGGATATGAAGGGAAGAGAACTGAAGGGGATATGAGAGTGAAGGCATGGGGAATAAGAAGAAAGGTTCACCTGTGTTCATGGTTGGAGCCAGGAATGTCAGAGTGCCAGGAAATGAAAGGAAAGGAGAAAAACCGCAAAGAGCCAGAGACGCAGCTGGGAGCCTCTCCTGGCAGTTGCAGATCACACTCTTTAACAAGATGTCTTTTGGTTTTGGTTTTTTTCAGGGAGTCCTCATGAATTCCTCTATGGACCATGTCCATGATCCTTTTTGCCTGTGTGGTACGAGTGAGAGATGGATTGCCCCTCTCTGCCTCCACAGATTTTCACCATAACCAGGACTTTTTGGAATGCAGAAAGCAGCTAAAAACATTGTCCTTAATTTTGACACAGTTTCCGGGTCGGGGGACCGCAGAAGGACATGACCTCAATATACAGTAAGCTAGTACTTTTCTTTCTTTGTAATAGTCATTAGCCTGATAGTGACACATTAAACTTAGCTTTCCTTTAACCATACTCTGTCTTAATTAAACACCTTAAGTTATCAATCTTGATCAAGTCTTGTACCAAAAGTGTTGACCTGGTATTTTAACACTTAATTTGAGAATAATAATAGCTAGCATTTGCATAGCCTTTAAGGTTTGCAAAGCACTTTACAAGTGTTAGCTCATCTGATCCTCACAACAACCTGGTCATATAGGTGGTATTATCCCCGTTTTAGAAACTGAGGCATAGAAAGTTTAAGTGACTTGCTCAGGGGCACATGGCTAGTAAGTGTCTGAGGTAAGATTTAATTTTTCTGACTCCAAACCCCAAGCCCTGACTACTGCCATTTAGAACAGTAATAATACTAGCCCATTTTTTTTCTGTAGTGTTTTAAGTTTTATAAATACCTCCCCACAGCAATCCTGTGAAGTAGGAATTGCCATATTATTAATTTTCCTCACTAAGACCCAGAGAGGGTAAATAATTTGCCTAAGGTCGCACAGTAAGGAGCAGATCTAGGATTTAAAGCCAGGTCTTCTGACTCCAAATCCATTGTTCTTGCCATATATTCTTAACTGAAGGTTTTCAGCAAAGTAACTAGCAGCCATGTAGCCTGTGTCCTTAATCTACACGAAAAGGTAGAATCAGCTCAGTGCTTTAATTAAACAAAACCCATTGACTTAGAATATTTTTGTGAAATTCAGATTACTGATTTAACAATCTTGCCTATTGATGTTTCCCTCTTTAATCCTAAAATTTCCCTTCTACCCTAGCTTAAGACAGGTAATATGTTGGACAGAAGAGGTTATTTCTTGAAGTAGACCCATATTACAGTTTACGAAATGTAAAGAGAAAAATCTTAACCTAGAAAAGCATAGCAGTCTGGTGCCATTTGGTAGACAACCCAACAACCTTCACTAACCTTAAGAAAAACACTAATTATTATACCATTATACAATCAAGGATGTCCAGAATGTTGACCCAGAGTCATCAGGGAAATTTTAAAACATGTTCAACATCCTTTGTTTACAAAGACAAGATAATTGATAGTCTATGTTAGAGTTCCATAAAAGATGGCTTAAAAATAGGCTTTCGCCCTTAAGTTGTGTACAAAATTCTCTCAATGGCAGTGCCTCATTCCTCACAGATGCCATGTCAACCATGTGTTGTTGTAATATGTTTCGCTCTTACATTTCTTTTAGATTTTTTTCTCATATAATCTAGTCATGACAATTAATTGCTAATCAGTCAGTATTTCCATACCACCACGGTTCCTCTAGCTGTTACCCCTAGGCTCTGGCACTGAAGCTTCAAGCTCCCCATATTACTGTTGCCTTTAGTCAATCAGATAACTTAATTTGCTAACAGAGTCCTCTGTAGACATGGCATTTTGTTCAGAGCTGGAGGATCCTTCTGATTTGCTTCTGCTTGGTGGTGAGTCTAGCTTCTGCCACTTTCCCCACCTGGATGGAGGGCAGGCATTTATTAGTCAGTCATTTTTTTTTTCTTTCAGCTAGAGACAAGGTTTGTTAGAACATCTGTCATATTGGGCAGACTCTTAAGGGGGTCTGAACATTAGTAAGCTGTTGGCTAGATTATAAGAATCTGACCAGTACCTAGATTTTAAGAATCCGAGCAGTGGCTAGGTTATAAGAATCAGAGCATCTTAATGGAGATAAGGCGGTCCTTATATACAGAAAGACTGTGGGAGGGACCTAGGAGTCGTCGGTAAACTGGGATGTACCGAACTCCTGGGACCTAGACAATGGAGCCTAGCTAGGATTAAGTGTGGGAAATGGCCAGGGGCCATAGGGAGGTAAGACAACAGAAGGGAGATTGGGAGTAGCCACAATGAAAGGCCAGTTGATGGGGATTATAGCCTCAGGGGAACGTCAGAGATTTGGCCCTGTGGGAAAGTCTGGGGTTTTTCCTTTCTGGGGGTCTAGATCCTATCATTCCCCCCTCAAACAGACGGACCCAAAGCTTCTGAAACTGCTTCAGGTTTGCATAGAGCTGTCCCTGCCTTGAGGGGGTCCCAAAGAGGAGGTTGTAATCAGTCATTTCTAAAGTACCTACCAAGTGTCTTCTGAGCAGAGAAGGATAAGGGAAGGATGACTTTGCTGCTGCTGCTCTTCAGGCTGTGCTTAAATAATCTTTTGTTTTCATTTCCATAATTGTAGGAATTCTGTGCTTCAATATTTCAGACAAGTTCTTTTCACTCTGAAGTCAACCTAGTGTAGTCTGCTCAAAGTGAGTTTGGTATGCTCTGGTTATGTGACGCTTCCTTTTAGGGGAACAGAGTCTCAGAGTACTCATTAAAGCACAGATTGGAGAATCTGTGTCTGGCCCCATATTATGAAGCTTTGTCTTGTAAACCAACTAAATGCAGAGCCAGAGAAACTTGGGCTAGTGATTTGACCTGTGATTCCACTTATGTGAGGAAACTCCCTTCATCAAGGCAGGTCTTGGAAGACTCCAAATCTTTAAAGTCTTAGAGTTGCCTAGCGTTGTTGGAAGGGGAGGTGACTTTCAGCTGAGCAGAGTGGGCTGGGCAAGACTTCAACCTAGGTCTTCCTGACTGCAGTTATTACTGTTTGCCTTCTGAGAAGTTTTGTGTTTCACATAAAGTGAACTTCTTGATATCAGGAAAGAAGAACTTAGTTTTTCTTCTCCAGATTTGTAATGAACTTACGTAAGTTTTTTGGAGTGGTGGAGGATGCTGGAAGTTGCCATACTTCAGTTGAGGATTACATAAGTAAAAAACCCAAGCTATTTTAGTTAAAAATACACACACACACACCCCATCTATCTGCTTTTAAAATTAAATCCATTTCCTCTATTTTTTTTTTTTTTGCTTTTTGGTGAGGCAGTTGGGATTAAGTGACTCGCCTAGGATCACATAGCTAGTAAGTGTTATGTGTCTGAGGCCGGGTGTCTGAGGCTGGATTTGAACTCAGGGCCTCCTGAATCAAGGGGTGGTGCTCTATCCACTGTGCCACCTAGCTACCCCAATCTCCTTATTTTTACTGGAGAATTATCTTAACTTTTTGCTTTGTAAGGTTGGCAGTACTACACCTCATTTTATAGACCAAAGAAAGTGTTCTTTCTCATGTAGTAATGCCACCATCTTGTGAAAGTTTAGTGCATTTCTTTATTTTTTCAATTAATTATTTTTTAGTTTTCAGCATTCACTTTTATAAGATTTTGAATTCTAAATTTTTCTTCCTCCCTCCCTGAGATGGCATGTAATTTGATATAGGCTATATGTGTGCAATCTATTAAACATATTTCCAGATTATTCATGTAAAGAAGAATCAGAACCAAAGGGAAAAACCGCAAGAAAAAAAAAGAGAGAAAATAGTGTGCTTCGAACTGCATTCAGACTCCATAATTTGTTCTCTGGCTGTGGATAGCATTTTCCATCTTTAGTCTTTTGGTATTGTCGTAGATTATTGCATTGCTGAGAAGAGCTAAGTCTATCAAAGTTGATCATCACACAGTGTGGCTGTTGTGTACAGTGTTCTCCTGGCTCTGCTCAATTCACTCAGCATCAGACCATTCAAGTCTTTTCAGGTTTTTCTGAAATCTGCCTGCTTAACATTTTTTATGGAACAATAATATTCCATTACATTCATATACCACAACTTGTTCAGCCATTCCCAGTGCATTTCTCTGAAAGATTTTTAAAGCCGTGTTGTAATCTCACAAATAGGTCGAAAGGGTCACACCATCTTGCCTTGCTTGCCACAAGAGCCAGAGCTTCTCTATCACAGAAGTTTTGGCTTCGGTCAAAGTTATGTCAACAGTTTTCAACACTTTCCTGTGGTTGAGATTGTAGTTAATATCTATGGTTCTTCTTTTGCTCTTCTTTTTTTTAAATTTCATTTTTTTTATTAACTTATTTTGATTTATCAACAATTACTTCCATAAGCTTTTGAGTTTTAAATTTTTCTCCTCCTCCTTCCCCACCTCCCTCCCCAAGACGGTATGCAATGTGATATGGGCTGTACATATACATTTCTATTAAACATATTTTCACAATAATGATGTTGTAAGGAAGAATTAGAACCAATAGGAGGAACCACCAGAAAGAGAAAACAAAACAAAACAAAACAGAAGACAAAAATAGCAAATAGTATGCTTTGATCTGCATTCAAACTCCATAGTTCTTTCTTTGGATGTGAATATCATTTTCTATTATGAGACCTTTGGAGATGTCTTAGATCCTTGCTTTGCTGAGAAGGACTAAGTTTATCAAGGTTAGTCATTACACAATGTGGCTGTTACTATGTACAACGTTCTCCTGGTTCTGCTCACTTCACTCAGCGTCAGACCATACAATTCTTTCCAGGTTTTTCTGAAATCTGCTCATCATTTCTTATAGCACAATAGTATTCCATTACATTCATATGCCACAACTTGTTCAGCCATTCCCCGATTGGTGGGTGAATGGGATGTCCCAGTGAAGACTCCTCAGTGTAATTAAGGTTTGGGATAAGGCTGAGTGGGATGAGGGTCCCGTGAAAACTTCTTAGAAGAATAAATAGAAATTGTATTAGACTCAAGGCAGGCATTGCAGCCTGACAGGCCTAAGTTTCAATTTACTAGAAATCACCTGATTTATGGGAATTCAGCCCCAAGTACTGCGCCCCCCCCATGCCATTGTTAAGTAGTTAAAGTTTGCCAAGCCTGAAACTCCTGAAGAAGCCCCCCTGTATTTTGTTGATGTACCTGTTGCTATATTTCAGTCATGGTGACCTGGCTACACAGTACAGTGTCTAGCTTGACTGCACATCTTTAATTGCTTCTTTGGTATTACTTCAGCAAACTAAGAAATATAGATATGTATATTGTGTTCATTGTTTTGTCTTCAGTTTCTATGGACATTGAGAATGTGAGCCAAATATTGGTCAGTTGGTGGGGGGGGGGAATTTGCCCATTAGGGTATATAATCAGGTCCTTTGCTTCTGTCTGTGTCTCCTTTCATCAGAGTATTCTGGTGGAGGAACACCCAAATCTCGAGGTTTGATATAATAATAATAAATTAGCTTTCTGTTTCTCCTTGGATACCTCTGTGTGTTCTTTAATTTGAGTGGCATCCCACACAGTGGGCATCCCCTCAATTTCCAGTTCTTTGCCACCACAAAAAGAGCTGCTATAAATATTTTGGTACATGTGGGGTCCTTTTCTCATTTGTATGATCTCTTTGGGATACAGCCCTAGAAGTGCTGTTGCTGGGTCAAAGGGTATGCACATTTTTATAGCCCTTTGGACATCGTTCCAAATTGCTTTTCAAAATGGTTGGATCATTTCACAACTCCACCAGTAATGCATTAGTGTTCCAATTTTCCCACACCTTCTCCAGCATTTATCATTTTCCTGTTTTGTCATGTTGGCCAATCTGATAGGTGCAATGTGGTACCTCAGAGTTGTTTTGATTTATATTTCTCTAATCAATAGTGATTTTTAATTTCTTCATCTGAGAACTGTTCATATCCTTTGACCATTTATCAATTGGGGAATGACTTGTATTCTTATAAATTTGACTTAATTCTCTATATGTTTTAGAAATGAAGCCCTTTTCTTGTTTTTCTACATGGAGTAGGAATCCCATAATCCAGTGTGGAGAGTAATAGGTCCTTTGGTTTCTTAAATGCTGAATTTTAAAATTTTTGTTTTAGGAGGTATTCTTGTTGTAGTGTGTAACATCATTATGTTTTTAATCTTAAGAACATTTGAACTTTTTTTTTTAACTTGTAGAACAACTAATTAAGTAAGCTGTACTTTGGGTATTATGTTAATTTTAATGCAGACAAAATAAGGACAATGCAGAAACATTTAAAACCGAGAGCTAAGTGACTAAGCATCTGTTTACTGGCCAAGAGGAAGAGGTTGACTCCAGTTTTCCTCGTGCAGTAAATGACATGGAATACCCCCTTTCTCGTGGCCTAAGAGGAGAAGAAGGGTTGGGGATTGCTCTGAAGTGAAAAGGGAATGAGCATTAATTTTCTTTTTTAGTGGAGAAACTTGGCAAGGATAGATCCAAATAAAATTTTTAGTTATGATTAATAGTCACTAAAGCTGGCTAATATTAAACATTTTTTAATGTAGCAGTTGTAATTAAAAACTTGTTCTAAGAAATAAGCCTGAAACAGCAAATTAGCTAAGCCTCTGTTTTAGTAAGGCCTGTTTGGGTTTAAGTCTTTCATCCAAACAATATTTATTGTCTACCGTGTGTATTATATTATAATTATCTGCTATGTGCTTTGTTGGGGAAGTAAAAGCCCTGGCCTTTGGCCATGGGGACCTTACAGCCTAGGTTCCAGTTTCTCCATGACTTGGAGGCGCTGCTTTGTCTCTTCAAGGCTCTGCACAGGTGCTGTCTTTTTGTTTGCCCATAAATCTTTCTCTGAATTCTCTAGCTCTCCCTCCTCCAGTTTTCCTAGAGTATTTTGGATCTTTCTTTTGCCCCAACCGTATTCTAGTTTTTGTCTTACTTAATTGTGACTGTGCCATTCTTTCTTGTTAGATTGCAAGCTCCTTGAAGGCAGGGACTATATAATTTTTCTTTTTATCCCCAGTGCTGCTCTCAGGACCTTGCACATAGTAGGTGCTTAATATATCTTTGAACTGGTCAGACATGATGTAGACACACAAAATCACTAGAGAGTGGTTCAAGGAAAAAGAAATGTATCTGTTGTATGAGAGATGCCACATACCCATGTTGTAGGATTCGGAGTCAATCACTATTGTATGCTGACTGTCAGACAGTAAGATAAGGAAGAACTTACTTGTACATTTTGTATGTAATTCACCTTTGGTGTTCTTGTTTCAGCTTTGACTCTTCTGGAGCCATAGCCTGCATGGGGATCTGCTCCCGCAGTTATCCTGTGGCCATGGCCTTCTGCTTTCTAGAGGCTCTTCGCTGGGAGTTCACTGCTTCCTATGACAATACCAGCATAGGCTTGGCTTCCAGACCATATGCCTTTCTCAAATTCGGTTTGTAGCTTCCTTATTCATTTATTATGAGTACTGCTTTATATTTGTGTGTTTCACAAGCTGCATCTTTTGTTAAACCCATTCTTCATTTATTAAATACAAAGATAAATATGAAATAGGACCTTACCTCAAGGTGCTTCTAATCTAATAGAGGGATAAACATACAAATAATGAACTAGGGTAGTGTCTTATGTATGGGGAAAAGGGGATGGATTTGAGAAAGACTGTGGAGGTACAGCTGAGAGGAGAAGTCGTAGAGGAGGGCAGAGAGGGTAGTGAGGCCAAGTGAGGCTTGCTGAAGCAACTGGGCATGCCTAGTCTGGAGAAGAGAAGGTTTCAGGGAGTGAGGGCTGTTTTCAAGTATTTGAAGGGCTCTCAGAGGGGAGCAGTTAGATATATTCTGCTTAGCCACAAAGGGCAGAACCAGGAGATACAGGCAGAAGTTTAGAGAGGCACATCTGGGGTTGAGATGAGGGAAATCTTTGGAACAAGTTGAGCTATCCCAAAGTGGAATGGGTGCCTTTGAACGGGAAGCTTTCAAGTAGAGTCCTAAAGACCACTTGTGGTGGAGGGCTGTCTAGGTGTGGGCTGGACTAGATGGCCTGAGGAGTCCCACGAACTCCAGAATTCTGTGGTTCTATAATTCTGAATCATCCGCAAAAAGATGATAACTGAATCAATGGGACTGGAGAAGGGGGCCCAGGACAAACTTTAGTGAGCACCCAGGCTTAGGAGGCAAGAGATGGAGAATTATCCTTAGACTAAACACTTGCAGTTCCTTCATCTGTTACCCAAATCACATGGTTTTGTCCCCTCCTTAGCTATATTGAATACCCTGCCCTTGATGCTGTGTAACTTGTCAATGTCCTTTCCAAAATGTGGGGTACATAACTGAACACAGTGCTATCCAGATGTTGTCTGATTAAGAAAGAGTACAGGAGAGATGCCATGCCCCTCGCTGTGGATCTGTATGTGGAATTGTTAGAGGCTCTATCTGAAGTCATTTTTTATGTAGCAAGAAGGTCAAAAGACACTCCCTAGTGTAGGGTTTGGGACATTCTGCTGGTATTAAGTAGTTCTATGTTTCTCTTGTATAGTCTTCCTGTGAGACCTTAACCAAGTTACTGTTCTTTACTCCCTTCCTCTTTAAAAGGAAGTGATGTGTCTTAATATCATCCTCTTGGTTGATGTGGCCAAGTGGTCCCCTTCCTTCCTTCCTTGACATTGCATGTCTTCTTCCCTCAGTTTCACACTTAGCAGTACTACTTGTGAAAAAAGGGATGAATGCTAACAAGGTTGCTTTGTCAGTGTTCTTCAGTATAGTTCACATGCTTAATAAGATCATGTAAGGGACTAATGTAATACTGTGGCACTTTGTCCATGAGGCCTGGCATTCAGATATCAGTAAAGGAGGTAACTAGTGACAGAAGCAAATTCTTTGATTCTGCTCTACAGTATGAGAATGGTATAGTCATTTCAGTTTGACTATATTCAGAGTATGGGTTGTTAGCTTCTTTGGAAATGTGAGCCTCATTTTGTAAATTCTAATAAAAAGTTCTAAATTCATATAAAATTCTATTCTGTGTTCTGCTGAAGTTGGTTGATTTTTTTTTTTATATACATACAGATAGTGTCATTCAGAAAGTGAAATGGCATTTTAACTATGCAAGCTCTTCTCAGCTGAAGAACCACTTAGAGAAGATTCAGGAAGAGCTGCTGCTCCAGCCTCCATTGGTCCTGAGACTGGAGGACACAGAAGTGATGAATGGGCTAAGAAGTAATCACTCCCCGATGCAGGCTGAATATGGTGGGTGAACTGAAAGTGATGAATGGGCTAAGAAGTAATCACTCCCCGATGCAGGCTGAATATGGTGGGTGAACTGAATGTGTACTCTGTGGTGGCGTTTAGTGATGATAGAGGAATGACACGTGCATTGCTTTTTCCCCAAATGGTTTTATATATGTGTAAAATAACTACATACTGGCGTTGTTCCTAGAATGTAATTGAAAAACAATTCTATTGCCATTTGACTTTTCTTGTGGATAAAGTATGTGAGTAAAGATCACACTGGTACCTGGGAAACTGTGAACAGTTAATGTGCCTAGAATGAATTTTAGGAATGAAATTAAAGAGAGACATCATCCTGTTCTGTAGAGAACATGGGACTTGAAATCAGGAGACCAGGATTCGAGTCTTACAATTGACACTAATGAGCTAATTAGGCCTTCAGTCACTTCTGCTCCCTGAGCCTCTGTGTCTTCATCTCTAGAATGAAAGGGTTGGGCTGGATCCCTAAGCTCTCTACCACCTCTTTATCATGGGAGATATGTTTCACTGGGGCACAGATAAGTGATTGTGGTTTCTTGAGGGCCTCCTTGTACAGTAGAGGTGAAGCTCTGGAAGATTCTTTCAAACTGGAAAGCTTCAAGTATTATTCTGGTGCCAGATTGTCTATTGTCCAATGACTAGCCTAGTTGAGGATGGTCAAGGGCCTTATTAGTAGGTTGGCTTCTGGGTGAAGAATTATTTGTCCATGGCCACTCATGAAACATTTGCTCAGCACGTAATTATTTGTAATTTCATAATTTCCTGCTTATATAAGAAAATTGATGTTCTAGAATTTTGGTTTCCTCATCTTGATAAAATGCATGACAGTTACCGGTGTTTCTTTTATTTTCATTTACTTTCAGCCTAAATTTATGATTCAGGTTTTTTCATGTGACCTTAAAAAATCTTAGATTATTTTAGGATTAACTGAAAGTACAAGTAAAATCTATTTTTCTTCTAAACTCTTGGGTGAGTCACCATGGCTAGTCACTTTATCGGCAGATCTGGTTTTCCGCTTGAGGTCACAAATGCAACAACTTGAGTTTGTAGAGCAACACAAAAATCTGGTCCTCAAGCTATGTCCTCACACCATGAAAAATGTGTTTGAGAAAGCGATGCTCTGGTAGTTATGGCTTTGCTTGAAACACAAATACAACCAAATTCCAGAAAGTTTAAACTTAGCCCTTCTTTCTAGGACATTTTACTGTGCTTTGGCTCAGCCTCTTGTGTCTCAAGGCTAGAATCCTAAAAAGGTAGCATGTTCAGTTCTAATGGGGGAAGCCTTGAATTGCTCAGTGGGAACTCTAACATACTAACAATAGCCATGGGTTTGATTGTTATTTTGTGCTAAATGTGGGGACAAGAAAGGATGATAAGAAAAGGAAAAGAAGGTGATTGGCATACCATATCTGTGGACATTGTGGGGAAAATCAATTCATAGGGTTTCTAAAAGAGCAAAATAAAATGGCCATTTGTTCTGATCATTCTAAGAAAAGCTTATGCATTGAATGTTTCCCTTTTTGCCAAAAAACCCCTAAGCATTTTGAAAATAAAAAGATACTTGATGGCAGCGGGGGGGGGGGGGGGATTGGAAGAGAAAGGCCAAGAATGTTTTTATGCCCAGTGAATAAGACGAAAACTAGAATGTTTTATGTAATGAATGTTAAATTATAAAACTAAATTGCTTGTATGACTCTACAACGAATATAAAAATAAAGCTATAGCACTCTTTATCACAAGAGGTTGCTTTCAGCTGAAACCTGGAAAAATAGCTCCAAGACCTCTGTTTGTATGAGATGGGGATGTCCAGTGTTGCAGCAAAGGCTAGAAGAAATACCCCTATGAGGCCTAGATCCTTTCTGTCCCTCATTTTCCACTTCTCTTTTTTGGTTCCTAACCATTACTTAATTTGTATTAATACACCTACAATTATGTCTGCAACATAATTTAAATTGTGTCCATAATGTAATTTAAATTATGTCTGTAACATAATTATAATTAGGGGAAGTGTGGTTTATTTCACTTTTCCTTTATGTAGACACTATGTAACCAGAAATGCTTTTCATTATAAAGTTAATATTATTATTATTTTAAATTATGAAGCTCCAAATTACCGGATGAAGCCAGTGACAGCTCTGGGGATTCTGTCTCTTATTCTGAACATCATGTGTGCTGCTTTGAACCTTATTCGAGGAATTCATCTAGCGGAGCATTCCTTTCAGGTATTTTTTCCTTCATATTTGGGATTGTAGGGTAGTCGGCAGGAGAAGAAATCGATCAGGAAGTGCTCTATTTATTAGGCTATATGGCTGTGAACCATAACATTTATGAAGGTTTTAAAATGAAAACGCTCAAAGGAAGTAGTGTTTATCTTAATAAGTTGGTATGCTTAGAAAAATGAAAGTTTTGAACAATCTGTTGGGATCCTAAGAAGTTTTGATTGATTGCTGAAGGCAGAACTAGGAAAAATCCATAGAAGTTGCAAAAAGACATTCCTAAATTTGATTATAGAAGAATTTCCTAAAAATTAGCATGGAATAGCTGCCTCCAGAATTAGTGGGTTCCCCCTCACAGGAACTCTTCCTGCTAAAGCTGGATGATGTGTTATCAGGTATGTTGTAGAATGGATGCTTGTTTAAATAAGGGTTAGACTGTCTCCAAGGTCCCTTCCAACTCTTAAATTCTGTCCTTTTTATGGGTTTCTTTGCTGTCTGGAGCAAATTTGACGATCTTTGCTGTGGCTTTTGGGCCCAGGTGAACATGTCAGGGTTTAGAGTGCCAACCAGAACTTTTTCTTTTACTATTCTACCCCCTACCATCCCCCCCCCCCACCCAATCCTACTTCCCTACTTCTGTTGAGGGACCACTATTCTTCCAGTCACCTGGGTTCTCAACCACGGAGTCACTCTCAACTTTTGATTTGCTTCTTCCCCTGTGTTCACACACTTCTGCTAACATCTCTTGCATCTGTCCCTTTTTTACTTGATGTAGCTACCAACCTATTGCAGGCATTTGGTTGGAGGTATAATTGACAACATATTGATAAGCTGAAGTATCCCAGAAGAGCACAGTCAGAATGTCAAAAGGCTTTGAGATCATGCTGTATGAGGACCATTTGAAGGAACTAGGGATGTTTAGCATGAAGAGGAGGAGACTTGGGGAGTGGGGGTGAGACAGCACATAAACCAGTCTTGAAGTACTGAAAGAGCTATCACATGGAAGTGGGATTAGCCTTCAGAAGGGGAGGATCTAGGAGGGGAGAAGTTTCAGAAAAGCAGATTTCAGTTAGAAATAAGGAAAACTTTACTAAAAACTAAAACCATTCAGAGGCAGAATGGGCTGCCTTGGAAGATAGTGGGTCTTCCTTCATTGAAGGTCTTTCAGCAGAGGCTGGCTACTTCTTAGGGATATTGTGGCAAGGGATTCTGGAACAGGTATGGGTTGAACTAGATGACCTCTGGAGTTCCTTTTGTTTTTTTGTGTTTTTTTTTTTGTTCGCTTGTTTTTGTTTTTTATATGAGGCAATTGGGATTAAGTGACTTGCTCAGAGTCACACAGCTAGTGACTGTTATGTATCTGAGGTCAGATTTGAACTCAGGTCCTCCTGACTCCAGGGCCAGCACTCCTATCCACTGCACCACCTAGCTGCCCCCCTGGAGTTCCTTTTGACTCTGAAATTCTGTGGCTTAAATTTTGCAATAATGTTTAGAGAGATACCTGTAAATACGTTATGGCCAAAGGGTGAACAACAGCTAATTTTAAAAATAGGCTATATAAATGTGTGTGTGTGTGTGTGTGTGGTGTGTATACAAATTCATGTGCATATACATATATAAATAGGTAGATGGATATGCATTCTATATCTATATTTATATATCTTGTTTGGACAGTGTCTAACATGTATTTAGGGGAGGTCAGCAGCAGTTTTGTGTTAATATAACTGCTGTGTATCTAGTGCTTGACTGATGTCTGGAAATGTCTTCTCAGTATTGTTTAGTCTTTAATAATTTTCAGCTAATGATAATTTTAGGTGGGTAGTCTTGATATTAGCTAGTTCTGGTATGTATTCATATAAAAATAAATCTCGTCCTTTCAATGTAAATGTAAAGATGGCTCTTTGGCAGGTCATCATCACCGGACTATAGCCTACTGGTTAATCCACCTGCCACAGATTTGTCATTACGCCAGTCCATCTTCCACTCAGCAGACAAATCAATCTTCCTAAAGTGCAGGTCTGGTCATGTTACTCATCTGCTCCTATCTGTTGATTGGAACCTTCATGATTTGTCCCCTCCTCCTACACTTTCAGTCTTTTTTCACTTTACTTCTCCCAGTATTCTCTGCAGTCCGGTGGCATTTGCTTCCTTGCTGTTCCACACACAAGACATTCCCTTTCCCAACTCTAAGCATTTTCATGAGCTCTCTGCTATGCCTGGAATTCTTTCCCTCTTCTCCACTTTCTGACTTTTCTGCATTTCTTCCAGTCCCAGGTAAAATCTCACTTTATGCCGGAAGCCTTTTTCAATCCCATTTAATTTGAGTGCTTTCTTTCTCTTAATTACTTCCTGTTTATCGTGTAAATAGTTTGTACTTTGTACATAATTGTTTACACGTTTGTCTCCCCCAGTAGATTGTGAGCTCTTTGAGGGCAGGGACTATCTTTTACCGTATTTGTTTCCCTGCTTAGCACAGTGCCTGGCACACAGTGAATACTCAATAAATGCTTGTCAACTGACTGGCATTTAATGAGTACATGAAAAAAGACAAATAATGTATAGTTACTGCCAACTTGTATATGCAGTCACTTTGTGAAGTATTGATTTAATTATTTTTTGTCACTTTTATCTTTTTGTCTCAGTACTACCCTATGATTTCTTCTGAGTATCTAATCTAAATCTGTCATGTTTTGATCTTATCATTCTTTCTTTTGGATCTAGCATTCTCGTTAGCTTTGATGAAGAAAGAAATTGTTCATTGTAAGAATAGATTTTAGTGATTGTGAAATTTTAAAAATCATTTTTAAAGTATGAACTTCTAAGTCCTCTAGTCAAGCCATAGTATGAGTGCTGATGTAGAGGTGACCTAGAATGACTGAAGACTGTGCTAGTAGTGCTCAAGCTTTTGTAGACCCTGATATACTGGAAATATGGTCCCTGCAGTGAGCTGTGGCAGTTATCCAACAACCAGTCTAGCTAACTGTAGAGATTCTCATTACCAGAAAGTTGGTCATGGGATGATGAATACTTAGTGGTCCCAGTAGTTCATGTAGCCTGTCCATTAGTGGAGGGGTTGCATCCTTTATTGGTAGAGGGAAGCACTCACCTCAGTGACAGTATTGATCTTGGTGCAGGACTTGATGAAGTATTTCATTATATAAATGGGTCATATTTTTCCGTTGAAGTATTTTTCTCCGAATTTGCCCCATTGGAAAGAAAGAAGTACTTTGGTTGTTTGTGAAAAGGGGAAGGAATCTTCTAGGTCGCCAGGTGGCTAGGTAGGTCCTTGGACCATTGAGCCTAGTCTGCTGCTGGGTCCATGTTCTCAGCATGTTGGGACCTGCTGGAGCTTTTGCCTGTAAACATGGCCTTCAGAACCCAGGGTCACTTCCAAATTCATGACGAGGTATTGGATGAAGACATTAATAGAGGATATGTTTATAAATATACGTATAAAATTTTGTTTATAGTTATATTTTGCTGCTTCAAAGGTCCTATTCCTGTGTTTTACTATAGCATGGTGATGGCCTTGGGTTCTCAAAGGCAGTGCCAATATAGTATAAGCGCTGACAGGTATTACCTGGCCCAAGTGACAGACTTGTGACTGTCTGATGACCAGCCTGGGTAAGTACATAGAGGCTGCTCACCAGTAGATTGGTGCCCAGGAGATGAATTCTTTGGCTATGGAAATCCATGAAACAAAACCACAGAATAGCCTTCAACCCTGAGTAACTGTCTTTCTGGTCTGGCAATGTCTGGAGCAGAGGATACTAACAAACAATCACATAGTCCTATAAACATTAATTTAATTGTTGGCACTCTAAATATAGCATCCTTGTTCAGTAACTAGTAAGTCAGCATAGTTCTAGAGGAACTGAATCTTGCCAGTATTGACATTCTTACCTAAAGGAAACTGGGAAGCATAAGGAAGTTATAGCTAAATGAAAGAACTGTTAGGTTCCATTCAGAAAGCATTTATTAAGGGCCTACTGTGTACTAGGCACTAGGGATGCAAAGACCAAAAGGAAACAGAATATACAAAGTACTTTGGGAGGTAGGGTGAGGAGTGCACCAACATCTAGGAGTATCAAGAAAGGCCTTGTATAGGAGTTGGGACTTGAGCTGGATCTTGAACAGAATTAGGGATGCCAAGAGTTGAAGGTTAAAAAAAGCATATTTCAGGCCTAAGGGGTAGTTGGTGAAAGTCATAGAGATGGGAGAGGGAATTTTGTGTGCAGGGCGCATTGGGCCAGTTTTGACAACATAGAGGGAAATAATCTGAAACACATTTGGAAATACAGGTTGGAGCCAGGTTGTGAAAGACTTCACATTCTAAACAGAGCAGTGTTTATATTTTGTCCTAGAGGTAATAGGGAGCTACTGAAGCTCTTGATTCTATTGTGATTATTGGTTGTTGACTGTAAAAAAGTATTTCACTTCACACAACAAAATGCAACTCAAAGGCTCTTCTCCAGCAAGTTTACTCTTATGTATGTTTAAGATCGTACAAGATTCCTTGATAGATGCAACGATAGAGATGATTTTGTTTGTCCTTGAATTGTTAATGTCAAGCAAGGCATTAGAGAGATGTATACTCGCCACAGGTGTTCACCATTGTCACAAGGGATGTCCTGCATAGAACACAAATCTAAATGATTAAGTACTCCACATATAATCAACACAATGTTATCTGCACACAGGACTATCAAGAGCTGAAACATTGCAGAACCCTTAAATGAGATTCACAACCACTCAGAAGTTTGGCCTAACTGCTCACACAGGAAGAGACATGTCTATGCCATGTTATATAGCTCACTGAGCTGTTTTTTTAAGTACGTATATCTAAGAGAAGTACATCCCCACTTCCAAGGACCTTGGGGCTGTTCCCATCACTAGGGCTGGCTGGGAGGCACTGCCCACTGGGGTACTGTACTCTCTACCTTTCCTTTACTTCAACCCCCGATGGTTTCAGGATCCCCCGGACCCAATCCAGGGGAAGGTCAATA